AAAGTGAGTTCCTGGACAGCCAGAACTGACTGTTACACAGAGAAACCCTGCCTCCAACAAAACAAAACAAAAAGATGGTTTCTGTGACCTCAGGGGATTTCCCATTCTTGGCCCTTTCTGTGCCCATGGTATCTAGCATCCAGTAGGCATGAAGCGATCCCTCGTTCAGGGATGGGTAGAGCAGGTGCCTATAAGAGAGAGTGGCTGTGGGTGGGGGAAAAACAAGCAGCTTGTTTCATTCATTCGGGAAGAATGTGTTTCCCCAGTGTATAGCTGCGCAGCGGGGACCAGTAAGTCACCAGGGGTCATACAAACATTGGTGATGAGCACAGGGAAACTGTGCTAGAAGCTGGGTACCACCCTGCCTCCTAGGTAGATTGGCTTCTCAAACCCTCGCTGTGGGATGGCTGAATCCACCTGGCTGCATCTGGGGCATATTTAATTATCCAGGGAAGCGCTTCTACTTCCCAGGCTAATTCTGGCACCTGCACACTTGTGGCCCTCTCACTAGGCAAGCGAATGACTCTAGACAGGGACCGTGTGGCCAGAAGGCTGCTGCTGTCCTGCACATCTGGCCCCTTCTTTGGAATTCACCCTTAACAGTTGTCTGCCTGCTGTGACTGTCTCCCTTCCCTGCCAAACAGGAGCCTGGGCTCTGGTGAGCGGGGTGACTGCTGGGAGACACCTCCAGATTTAACCACTTAATCCCCAAAGTGGCCCATCTAGCTGGCCAGCCAGCCCAGCATTAATTCATTAGGCATCCCCATTATCTTCCTTGTAGCTGACCACAGGGTCCTCCTTTCTTCTAGTCCCAAAGCAGGAGTCTGCTGCCCTCCCTTGGTTCCCCTCTCAAAGACAGATTCAGGACGCCATTCTCTGTCTTTCTCTCTCCCCTCCCCCTCTTGAGGCACACAGCTCCCAACTCCCTCCCTCCCCACTCACCACCTAGCCTCTTTTGTTTCTCTCCGGTGTCTTTGGGCCTTGACTGGGTTGCCTCGCCCCTTTCCTCCTGACCTCACCAGCCTCTCCGACCCCTACCCCATTACCTTACTAGGTCCCCTCCTCCACTGCAGTCCCCAGGCTAGGGGAAAGAGATGGCCAGCACTTCAAACTGAAATCCCCATCTTCACTTCATACTTTGCAAAGACTCAGGTAGATTCTATCTGAGTGCATTTTTCCCATTTTGGAAGAGATAAGAAATGCCCTGAGTTGAGTGAATTAACAGCCATGCCTGGCACTGGCCACTTTTAAATAGCTGCTCTCATAGCACTTCCCATCTCCTCTGCCAACCAGCTGTGGCTCTTACCTGAGATCACACTGCCCATAAAGGCCAGGTACCTTACCCCCATGCTAGGGATGGAAGCCAGGACCTTTTGCACGCTGAGCAAACCCTTGGGCACTGAGTCACATTCCCAGCTCTTCTGGTCCCTAAACCTACCTCCTATATATGCAAACTCATATAAATTTACCCATGTACGCACATGCAGAGGCCAGAGGTGGAAGTCAGCCGTCTTTAGTGCCCTTCCCTCCTACACCTCATTTTCTTGAGGCTGGCTAGCCAGGATCCCCTGCTTCGGCCTTCACTCCAGCCCTCCCTCTAGAGGCTTGTATACTCCACTCCCACCCCCCACAGGGCTCATACACAGACACAGGGGATCCAAACTCAGGTCCTCATGCTTGCACAGCAAGACTTTACCCACAGAGCTGGCTCCCAGCCTCCACTGCTTTGTCTGACATATGTATATATCACCATGCTCTGTCATGAACTGACTTCCCAAGAAGGCAAGTAAGAATGAATGGCGAGGGCCGGGCAGAAGGCTCAGTGAGCACAGCCGTCGCCAGCCCAGCCTGAGGACTTGAATTTGGTACACAGGAGGACAGCCTGCGAGTTGTCCTCAGACCTCTACACTTGTGCCACAGCACTGGCGCGCCCACAAACAATGAATAAATAGAATAAAAATTTTTTAAATCTTCCAAAAGTACGGTGCAGGTCACCAGCAATGAAAATGGTGGAATGTGGCCTATGCTGGAAAGAGAGAGCGGGCACTCAGTAAGAATCACAGTAGCACACATCAGTAGCTACTTTGTTGCCGTCGTTGTTGCTTTGCGGCCAGGGTTGAATTCATGTTAAGCACAGGCTCCATGATCCATCACTGAACTACAACAGCAGCCTCAGCCCTCACAGCCACCCAGCTGCAGTAAGCACTGCTCATGCAGCCCACCTAACTTTTACCTGTGACGTATGCTCCGTGCTGCTATTGTCCCCATTTCACAAACAGAAAAGCTGAACCTCAGAGCTTGGCTTTTTTCCTTCCTTCCTTCCCTCCTTCCTTTCTTTCTCTCTTTCTTTTATTGATAACTTTGAGGAAACAAACGTTACCGGTTCATAGCTGGGTCTCAGAACAAGTTTGTTGGGACCATGGACCCTGCTTAGAGCTAAGCTCCTAAAAGATTTGGAGTGGTGTCCCCAGTCCAACACCCTCACCCAGACACAGAAGGTGGGCATGAGCATTCCCATCCCATGCTGGGCAAAGTGGAGAATGCCCCTCTCTGCTGGGTTGACTTTCCTTGCTCTAGCCAGATTGGGAAATGCTGGGCTTGATCCTCTTGTCACAGGAGGAGGTAGCAAGCTCAAGGGGAGGACCCCAACATGAGCTTCAGGGAGTGCAAGTGACCAGCTGAAGGAACGCAATGGCATCTCCGGGGGTCAGGAGCACCAGAGGGGTGAGAACCCCATGGGTGTGGCTGCTGTGGAGGATGCAGCAGGCAGGAGAACCCAGGAACTGGATGGAGTGTGTTTTGGGCTCCCTGAGTCAGGGCACAGCACGGAGCTTCCTCAGAAACAGAAACAGAGCTAGGGTAGAAAGAACGTCAGTTCTGAGGTGACATGGGCTGTCTCTCTGCACCCAGCATCCACACGGTTTCAAGAATATCCTCACCAGCACCCTCCTGCCACCGGGGACTCCAGTTTCCCAAATTCACACAGGGAGCATACTGGAGTACCAGACCGCAGCCTCTTTTTCGGGGTCCTGAGCACCCCTGCTCCTGACATGCATACACACCGGTACAGGCACATGCTCCAGTTCTGGTCCGGAGTCGGAGTCTTCGGTCTCCTGGGTGGAACGGTGCTAATAGAGCACTTCTGCCATCCAGCCTGTGCCCTAAGACGCCAGAGTCCATATCCCAGGCCCCCCTCTACCAGTCTTCCCTTCCTTCCCATTGACTTTCGCACCTGCCAATTCTTCTCCACGCCCCCCTCCCCAAACTCGGCAAACCTGCCTTTCTCTCTCCAATTCATCGCCTGTTTTTCCTTTCCTCTCTCACTTTCTTTCTGCCTCCTCCCAAAGTCCACATTTTGTACGTCAAATCAATGGCACCCTCAAAATATATTGATCCCATCCCCGGGATTCCGCAGCAGCTGTACTTTTGAAAGGAGGGACAGAGGGGGAGCAGAGCATGGGACCTCCAGAGCCGGAGAATCGGGCTCAGGGCGCCCCGAAGCGACACTTCTCTGCACCAGCGCCCGGGCTGCGCGAGCCCACGCGACATCTGTCGCCCGCGCTCCCGGCTCACACCCGGCTCACCCCCGCAGCTCCCCCGGAGTTGCCACCCCCCACGCTCCGGCTGCCGCCTCTCCCTGAGGCACAGCGCCAGCTTTCCAAGGTGTCTGCGCGCCCTCGAGGCTGGGCTGGGACCAGTGCGTAGTCTTCGGGTCTCTGGTTACCTCATCTGTGATCTTCACCTTTGGACCCATCTCTCGGAGGCCAACCTAGTTCATCTCCCCACCAACCCCACCCCTGTTCTCTGAAGCTTCCCTATTCAAAAACCTAGAAAGATGACCCTGGCACGTCTACTCCCCCAAAACTAGCCTAGCACAAGGCCTGGAACACAAGGAATGCTCACAGGTCCCCCTACCAAGGACACACCTACAGCCGCCTGACACCAAACGTGAGATGCTCAGCACCCTGTGACCACCCGGAGGACACAGAAGGCTCCCACACCTCACACCTCGTCTGCTGGAGGTGACAGGAGGCCAAGCTCTAAACGGCGACACCTCGCGGTAAAAGGAACAACAAAGTTACCGGGGAGATGGGACGCTGAAGCGCGCTTGCCTTGGGGATCGAGGACTAAGACCCAGCCAGTGAGAAACTTCCATGGGGTGGGGCGAGGGGACTCGTCACAGAGAATGGGGATTCACAAACTGTAAACATAACGCTTGAGGAGAAGGGAGTTAAGAGCAGAGATACGGAGACCTGGTCAAGCCTGGAATGGCCGGGACTTGGGACTTTTAGAATCAGCGATGCATAATTAGGGGGAGGCTTTTAGCTCTGTCCAGGGTGATTCCACTGCACGTGTTTACTGGGGCTGGTGACGTTGGCGGTGGCTTCAGTCCTTCAGTTCTGGGGAAGACGGAGGGGGAGAGAGAATAGAGAGGGAGAGGAGAGTGGAGAAGGAAGGAGTAAGAAGAGACAGTGGAGACATAACAGGGGGAGAGAGAAGAGAGAGGGAGGGAAAGGAGAGAGGAGGAGAGGGAGAGTGAAGAGAAAACAGGAGGGGAGAGAGGAGAGGGAAAACAAGAAAGAGTAGACAGGATAGGGTGGAAAGAGAAGGGAGAGATAGACAAGGCAGAGAGAAGTGGGAAAGAGTGATAGAGCCAGCGAAGAGAGAGAGAGAGAGAGAGAGAGAGAGAGAGAGAGAGAGAGAGAGAGAGAGAGAGAGAGAGAGAGAGAGAGAGAGAGAGGCGAATGAAGATAGGAGAGGGGGATACTGTTGGAAAAAGTGAAGACAACGTATAAAGACAAGGGGAGAGAGAGAAAGAGGCGGGAGAGAAGGGGGGAGGGGGAAGTGGCGCGAAGCCGACGCTCAGGGTCTGGTCTGAAAGGGACAGAACAAGTGAGGAGAAGGAGGCCCGGTCTGCGGCTCCCAGCGGTGGCGCCCTGGCTCCCGCCATCGCGCTCTCTCTCCCGCCCGCTCCCCGGCTCGCCCGCTCGCCCGCGTACCTGTTGCTCGGTCCGGGCTGGGTCTCGGCTCCGGTCCCCTCACCAAGAAGGCCCCGCGCGCGCAGCCTACGCGCTCCGCCTGCCGAGCAGCCAGGCCGCCAGCGCCGCCACCTGCGCGGCCGCGCACAGCCAGGGCCAGCGGGCGCGGAGTGCGGGCAGCAGCGCAGGCAGCGGGTCCCGGGGCCGCGCGCGGCGCCGCATGGCGCGTCGGTGCAGCTCGTCGCCCAGCGCCTGCAGCCTCAGCGCGGTCACCTGTGCCGCCGCCCAGCGCAGCCCGGGGCGAGTGTCGCCGCAACCGCACACGGCCGGAGGCCCGTGGCCGCGATGCCGGGGACACGGGCACATGGCGTGCGGAGGAGCCTCCCCGGACCCCAAGTTTCGCCCTGCGCCGCGCGTTTGTTGTGCTGACGGCGCTATTATTAATTAAAGTGTCACATGGTGGAGGGGGCGGGGAGGGCGCGGGGAGGGGGTTACATCATCCGGCCCGGGGGGGTGTGCAGGAGAAGAAGCTGAGAGGTAACTTTTAACCCTCGCGATGCCGGCAGGGCGGGGACAGGCGGGGACGCGGGGCTTGGGGGATGCTGGCCCGAGGCGTCCACTGTCTGGTTTCTCAGGTTGCGGGCGGCTCCAGCTCGGATGCAGCCTCCGAAGCCAGCTCGGTGCACACTGGGGATGGCGCTCCGGGCGAGTTCGGCTGTTATTCGAAAAGATCCCCGGGCCGTTGTGTGACTTGGGTGGCGAGAGGCAGGGGGATTCCAGCCGACTTGCCCAGTTTCGGGGCTGACTCGACACCTGCAGTTTTTGGGTCGGTGCACACACTCCTCACACGCGTTCACACCCCCTTCTGGTGACCTGACCTAAGCACACCCCGGGGTGAGAGCCTGAACCCTGGAATGGGGGCAGGGTGGGGAGGAGGACGGGGCTGGAAGGGTTGGACTCCAACTCCCGGGTGAGTCGCCCTTGCACAAGAGACTTCCCCTCTCCCCAGTGACCTTTCTAGAGAGAAGTTCGTATTGCCTGCTTGCTTTGTGAACATTACCTTTCCTAACCGGGTTATGGTTTGTAGTGGACCCTGTGAGGCACTGACTTGGTGCCTGGTGACCTAACCCAAAAACCAATCCAGTTCTGCTTCAAGCCTGGGAAGTCCGCTGGGGAGGGTGCTGACTAGCTAGGGAGTTCTCAGGGCTCCTTTGGGTGTTACAAAGACCCGCCCCTCCCCATGTCAAATCCATTGGGATTTGGATCTGGAGGAGCAGAAAGGTGTCTCCAAGTCAGTGATCTTAGAACCTTCGAGAAAGTTTCCATCACTCCTCCTGACGTGGAGAAGCCTTTGTTCCCTTGAAAAAGATTTTTCATGACCATGAACTTGATGGAGTAGCACCAGCCTGTAATGCTCCAGGGTCAGCACTACAGAAGCAGAAGCAGGGGGATCACAAGTTCAAAGCCAGTCAGGTCCACATAGTGGTCCCAGGCCAGCCAGGGCTACAGAGGGAGAGCCTTATAGTTAAAAAACCTAAAGAGTCAGGGATGATGACTCTGTGGCTTTCAGTCCTGTGAACCCATGTAATCCAAAAAGAAAAAGGATACCCATAGTATGTCCTCTGATCTCCATATGCATACTATGCGATGCGCATGAATGCATGCCAGATAAATTGATAGATAAACAAATGAAAGTGTTAAAAAGAAAACAAACCCAAAACAAAAGACATAAAACTATGATGTCACCTTTTCGTGATTTTTTTTTGTTGTTGTTATTGTTACTGTTCTTGTTTTGTTTCACATAGTCCTGCTGTGTAGTCCAGGCTGGCTTTTAACTGGGTAATCTCCTGCCTCATCCTCCTGAGCGCTGAGTTGACAGGTGTGCAGTGACACTCTCAGCTTGGCTTATTTTCATCTGTGTTCATGGCATCTCCCTCAGCAGCTTGGTGAAGTGACACTCAGCTCAGCACAGCCAAGCTCACTGTGGGCTCTTGGTGGCCCTAACCTTCACCAATCTCAGTTCATCTTCCCTAACAACCGCCTTACACTGCCCAGTCCCTTCCTTGTCAGCAGGCTTGCCAAGGTCCTAGCTGGTGCTCCTACAAAGAGTCTATTGCTGCCCTGTTTCTAAGATGAGGAAGCCAAGGCCCCGGTCCATGAGGCCTCTTGCCCAAGATAGGGGTTAGGGCAAAGCAAAGCCTGGCCCTGAACTAGGGCACCCAGTAGCAGGCACCAGGCCCTAGCCATGGTGAGACTGATAATGCCTCCCTCCTAGGACCAGGGCCCAGACTAAATGAAAGAACTGTGTGCCAAGGGTCTGGCAAGCAATGGGCCCAAATAAACCTTGGTCCCCTCTGCTTCTGGCCAGAACCACTTCCCCATCTCCTGGGACTCTGGTTCCCTAATCCCAGCCATCCTTATGAAGAAAGCTGAACCACTGCCCAAGTGTAGTGGTCCAAGATTGAAGATACAGTGTCTATTTAAAAAGCCCTTTGGACTTAAATTGAACAGTCCCCCCTCCCTTTTAATCTCCGCGCTTTTAACGGCTCACTTCATGGACATTAATTTTAATGGGACGATTATTGCCCTGTTTGGAAGCCTGCCCCTGGAAATGTTGGGCTCACAAGGTGGCTCTGGGTTGGCTCCCAGCAGCTTGGATGTTATTTTTTTAAGCAGAGAGAGCATAGCTTTGGCTGTGGAGCTGAGAGGAGAAGGGGGTTCTGGAGAAATGGGGTCAATGGAAGGCCTGCATCTCCCCATGGCTGAATTAGAGCTGGCTCATACCAGTTACCCTGCACCTCTTTGCACTTGGTCACTGGGAGCTTGACCTTGAGGTGTGGCCTTTAAAAAATTCATTCTCACCCTCCTTTGTGTTTGTGTGTGTGCACGCGCACACACATGTACACATGTGTGACATGGAGTACATGTGCAGGTCAGAGGACAGTTTGCAAGAGTCAGTTCTTTCCTTCTACCATGTGGGGCTCAGGGATTGAACTCCAGTTATCAGGCTTGGTGGCAAGCACCCTTATCCACTGAGCCGCAAGACAGGCCCTTTTGAAAGTGTCCGTTTATTTAACTGTTAAGTAGAGATGATATCAGTATGGACCTCACAGGCTTAGGAATCTTGTAAATCAGCCCCACCCCCACAAGCATGGAGCCTAGCATACTTGTTTAATAAAGAAGCTGGGCCTGATAGCTCAGGCCTGTAATCCCTGCTGCCCAGGAGGCTGTGGCTGGAGCGTCTCTAGGACCTTTTTGAGCTACAGAGTGAATTCAAAGCTAACCTGGGCAACTTAGCGAGACACTGTCACGTTGGGCGCGTAGCTGGCAAATACTTGTTGAGACAAAAACTGACTAGTGGAATGAATGAATCCCTGACTGGTTAACTGATAGTGACTGACTGAGTGAATGCTTGAATAAATGAATGGTTGTCTGAATGACTGACAAATCTGAATGAATGAAAACAATTTAGTTTGTATTTTCCTCTTTTAATGTACATTGGGGGGTGTGGGCTGGAGAGAGAGAGAGAGAGAGAGAGGTTGGTGGTTAAGTACATTTGCTGCTCTTCCAGAGGATCCAGGTTCATTTCCCAGCACCCATATCTGGCAGCTTATGACCACTTGTAACTCCAGGTCCAGGGATTCCTATGGACACCTGTACAAATGTGTCATATACTTACATACACACACAGAGAGAGAGAGAGAGAGAGAGAGAGAGAGAGAGAGAGAGAGAGAGAGAGAGAGAGAGCCTAAGAATACAATGATACACATGGAAATGTTATAAACAATGACATACAAATATTATGTGTATACATGCATGCATGTATGCATGTATGTGTAGTCTGGCCTAGACCATTCTCTTACCTCCTACAGAAACCAACACTGTTTTGACTGGAAAAGGTTGTAAATTCTTTTCTTTGATTGAAACATGATTTGTTGGAGAGCCAGGAAGCCTCTCCTTGGGTGTTTTAATGCATGTGGCTGTGTATAGTGGTAAATGAAGGCACAGCTGTTGCCTTCCCGAGACAGCTGTGTTTCTGGAAGACAACTGTTAATGCCAAGTCCAGATCTGATGCCAGGAGTCAGCTCACAGCACTATGTTCTCAAGGCCGGGATAGCAGGGTGATAGATTTACATTTAGGAGCCTGAGGGACATGGGTGGTGGTGGCTGTGCTAAATGACAGTGAGGTGCCGTGGCAGTCTCTCCTTTCTCTGGGCCTTGGGTTTCCCATCTGTAGACTGGGAATGAAAACGCTACCATTGCAATGTCTGTGAGTAAATGCAGCAGAGAATTTGTGCTGGGAGTTAATGACGTGATTGACACTAAAAATTACTTGTGATCTTTGTGGTTGTTTTGGGATTAGTAAATATCCACTTAGGAAACAAAATAGGGCCTGTGACCCAACCCCACTGAGAAAACACGGAGAGTCAGTTCGCAGGGAACCTGGAACCTGTGTCTCACAGTTATTCCCAGGGAGTCCCCTCCATCTGACAGGCCCAGAGTAGAATGGCTCTTGTCTTTCACGGGTATCCTGAGATGATAGGGTAACCCCTTCTCTGGGGGCTTCCTAATGACCCCTCTGGTGCCTTTCCTAAGGGCCTTGTTGTTGAATGTAAGAGCAGGTGAATGGCCACAGCAGGGGAGAAAAATAAATTAACCACCCCTTAATTATAGTTTCACCATACAGTTGAAGAGGGGTAAACCTCGCTTGCATAAAGCCTAATTCCTTGATTAGGAGTCAGGAGACAAGGGGCTGATTCAGCTCCTGCCCCTGCTGTGGAAATTATATCTTATTGCCCCTCATTCAGGCACTAATCACCTCCCTGAGGTGGGATAGATCGGAGCTGATAAGTATGGAGGTGAGGGTGAAGGTGACTGGCTTGCAGTGATGGATAAGGAGGGTCCAGGGACTGACCCAACATGGTCCTCTCTGACTCCAAGACCCCATTTCTAGATATTCACTCTAGCCCAGTGCAGGCAGGTGTTCCCTGGACAGTGTCTCATCCTCAGAACTGAAGGCCTTATTGGCATCTAGTAGACAACAGACAGAGCACTGTTGAACACCCTACTGTGCACAGAATACAAACTTTCTGGCCCCAAAGTCAATACATTGTATTTAAGAGCCTCCCACCAGACAGGTTGCCTTAGCATGTATGTGGTTCAAGAAGCAGGAGTACTGTTTGACTCCAGCCAGCCAGCTGTAGGCATGAGTTTTCTGGCCCTGCAGGGTCCTGCCACCTTTGAGAGCCCCAAATGAGCATGCAGATGCTGTATTAATTATGAAACTGTTGGCCTATTTCTTGGGTTTCTTATTGGCCAGCTCTGTCTTAATTATTAACCCATAACTACTAGTCTAAGTATTTCCACGTGGTCTTGGACCTCCAACTCCTTTGCCTGCTGCATCGCTACTGTTC